TCTCATTCACAAGGCACAACAGACTGCATGGAATCCAGCACAGCCATTTGTGCAGGATTTGAACATGCTTCCGGGAAATCTAGGTCTGATGCTTATTCCACTCAGCTATCTCCTCTGCCTAAACAAACCTCAAAGCCACCTCTTGTTTTCCTGCTGAAAGATGCCAGCTTAATCCTGGAGGCCAAGGCTTTCTCCACTGAATAGATAGAGCAGGGGCAGCTTCTTGCACTGCTTTGTATAGAGACTATCTAGAGGGCAGGGAGGGGATCGATTGGTCTCCATGGTCCATTTAGTCCTTGACATCTCTGCTGAGACTGCTGGTAAGGAGGCAATTGATTCCATCTAGGGAGGTGGTTAGGAGACAAGGCACCTGTCCGTAGGGAATTGGACTCACCGCAAACTGTAAGGGCTTCCCTTGACCTCCAGCATAAATCCAACTTTTCCCTTGGCATTAAGAGGGATGGGCACTTTTGTCTCTGTCTATATTTTTCTACGATGTCTCTATCAAAGTGTCAGGTACAGACCGCGGGGTGGTTACGGTTAGTTTAGAATGCAGTGAAGAGGGTTAACAACGGGTTTCTTCTACTATTGTGTGATTTATTCACTTGGGTGTCTCTGAAATTCCTCACAATCTCCTCTAGTCCTGGCTAATCTAAATCATTGTCATCCTGCAAATATTGCTACCTCACTGTTCACTCCCTTTTCCAGCTCCAACAGTATTTTTCATGTTGAGAATAATATTCCCAAATCATAATCTTTGTCCCTCTTAGCCAAAATGGGATCAGATCCCAGGTAGGAACATTCCTTCATCTTGTCACTCAAAGGTGAGGATTAGCATTTAAATGTAGCTGGCCTTTTAAGTGCAGATGACTAAAATCATGCCTAGGACAGCATGATGCAGATCTGGCAAGTGCCTTTATTTGTTAAATTCCTTCCTTCCCTCAGTATCTGTTCCCCTTCCTCTGCTAGCCAGCAGCCTCCTAATCTAGTGTCCTGCTGACAGCGCTAGCTCTAACAGCAGTAAAGTAGCTAGGGCCCAAACCAAAACCTCTCAGTTTGAATGAAAAGGGATTGATAAAATCTAATATGACCAGAAGTATTTTAAGATGGCTTTTTACTGTGAACCTTCTCCAGACCCTAGGGTCGCATGAGCATCAGGCCTTTCGGTGGCAGTGACCATCTTTGCCACTGAAGCTTAGGGATTTGCAAAGTAAAATGTTGACCTTGATTTCTGTGCATTGTTCTCCGGTTTCCCTAGTTGCTCCAGTGACTGTAGGAACAGTCATTAGCGCGGGTGACTGGGAGTCAGAATTCTGGGCTCTGTTCCAAGGTCTGCCACGTATATTTGCCGCTTATATTTTGTTGAACTCATAGATTGCAGGGTTGTGTTAACAAATTGTCTGTAAAATGGGCGGGGGCTACAGTGGTCTAAAGCGATGGCAATTGTGGATCAATCCGAGAGAAAAGCTAACCTTGTAGCTCGTGAAGGATATTGTCTCAGTAACTCTGGGTATGCACAAGCTAAGTTTATTAGGAAGCTGCCAGTAGCTGCTGAGTGGATAGAAATCCCTTGCATAGGCAGTCATAAATGGTTAGTCACCTCTATTCTAGAGTTGGACTTAGCCCTTAGAATGCTGATATTTCCAGCTTCTCATCCTAATGGTTACTTAAAAGCATGTCTGTCTGCCTCATCCGGAGCATTAATTTCCAGCTGAAACAGAACGTGGAAGTGCTCTACCAAGTTAAACTGTCCGGCAACAAAAATAACTGCTAAGTGTGTTAGGATGATTTCAATTAAGTCCCTTTCCTCCGACCTGTCTCAGACAGGAAGTGTGCTGAACAGAAGCAATCTGCTGACATCAGTTCAAAACCAACACAACAATATTTTGTTGCTGAGCACAAAACTCCAAAGGGTTGATCGAGCTGCCTTGAACTGTTAACAATTTGGGAGTTCGAGGACTGGAAATTACATTGAGCCACAATTCCAGACTGGCTATATTAGGCCTTGGACCAGGGTCATGAAAGCACTGCTAGTCCAAAGGTCCAGTGAAAGTTGACCTGCCAGGGCTACAAATCAAGGCTGTGTGCCATTAGAGATCACATCTTTTCAGTGTTCAGAGTAACAGCCGTGTTAGTCTGTATTCGCAAAAAGAAAAGGAGTACTTGTGGCACCTTAGAGACTAACCAATTTATTTGCGCATGAGCTTTCGTGAGCTACAGCTCACTTCATCGGATGCATACCGTGGAAACTGCAGAAGACATTATATACACACAGAGACCATGAAACAATACCTCCTCACACCCCACTGTCCTGCTGGTAATAGCTTATCTAAAGTGATCATCAAGTTGGGCCATTTCCAGCACAAATCCAGGTTCTCTCACCCTCTGCCCCCCCCCCCCCACACACACACACAAACTCACTCTCCTGCTGGTAATAGCCCATCCAAAGTGACAGAACCTGGATTTGTGCTGGAAATGGCCCAACTTGATGATCACTTTAGATAAGCTATTACCAGCAGGACAGTGGGGTGTGAGGAGGTATTGTTTCATGGTCTCTGTGTGTATATAATGTCTTCTGCAGTTTCCACGGTATGCATCCGATGAAGTGAGCTGTAGCTCACGAAAGCTCATGCGCAAATAAATTGGTTAGTCTCTAAGGTGCCACAAGTACTCCTTATCTTTTCAGTGGCGTTCGACACATGATTTGTAGCCCTGGTTGTTCATGAGAACAGACTCACAGCAGGGCTTTCCAATTCCCATTGTCCCTCTCTGTCCCTGTTCGGTTCTGCGCGGGGTTAGTGGGTGGCAGCTGTCTCCAGGGGCTAGTGCTCGAAAACAAAGTGGTGCTACGCATGGAGCTGCTCTGGGCCCTGTTTCTTGCACAGAATTAGCTGTTAATTTGCCGCGCTTGGAAAGGGGCTACGTCCTGGCGTTGGCCTGGGGATTAAAGAGGAAGATGGTCCGAATGGTACTGCCCATTTCTCACCCGTTGGTGTCCCTGCTAAATGCTCACCATGTAACTTCTTGCTGGTCACAGTTAACCTCTCCATGCTTGTCTCTGCCAAGGCCTCCTGCCCCAGAGAAAGCTGAGTCTGGCTGAGTCTCTCATGGTGCTGTTGTAGGTGGTGAAAATGCTTCTCAATTTCTGCTAAAATTTTCTCGGGCACATGCTTGAAAATCAAGGCAAGGGCCAAAAGAGTCTGGGTCCTAAAGCTGGCCTTTGAGGAGGCTGGGGGTGGACTGAGGTGCTGCTTCCAGTGATGATGCATAGGGGTGTGTGGAGGCTGTGGGGCGACGGGGATTGTTCAGAGCATGGGTGCAGATGCTGCTCTGTGCTACAGTGATTCAGCCGGGCTCAGAGGCGGGCGCTCAGTCCCAAGAAGACGGAGTCTTTCTAGCCTGGAGGAAGCAATGGATAAAGCGGGACTCTCTTGTCTGCGGGACTTTGCCCGTTGCCTGGTAATGAGGGTCAGCACCTGGGAAGCTGCTTTGGCTCTCAGCTTCTTCACGCTGCCCCAGCTAGGAGTGATTGTTGAGCACGGACACACACGTCAAAAAGACCTTGTCCCAGTGACCCAGACTTAGGCTGTACTGAAGTTAGATTCCAGCTGTGGGCCGTGCTTTCAGGGCACCCAGGAAGCCCAGCGGGTGCAGAGCATGTTTCATAGGCTATGTCTGTTCTGCAAACAAAAGGTGTGTTCCTAATGCTGGGTAAAATAGCAGCGAAGACATGGCAACTCCGCGCTTGGATTCCACCTCAGGCTCCCTTCCAGGCTTTTACGCCAGCTCCTAACCCAATTAACAGCCTCAGGGCAGTGTCCTTGTTGCTGTTGTAACCCAGGTAAGCTAACCTGAGCTAAGGACACACCTCTTGTTTGCAGTTTAGGCAGAGCCTTTGGCAGGGCAGATCCCAGAGCCTGGGTGCAGTCACTTACCAGGTGACATGTCAGGTTTTAGATTTGCCTGTACAAAGCTGCAAGTCTTCAGTGCATCCTGGCTGCTGGGGAGCAACTCCTGTGATGCCAGGACTGGTGTAGTCAGCTGAAGGTTTCTGTCCCCTGGTCAGTAGCAGGGAGTTCTCAGTGGGGCATCCTTGGCTGTGAACTCAGACGTGTCTACTCACCACATGCACCCCCTTGTCAGATAGTGCTTGAGCTGGGGCCCATCAGGGCGCGCTGCGAGACTCCTCTACCATGGGGGTGTGGAGGGAGGAGGAGATGCTCATTTCTGTCCAGACAGTGTGATTGTGGCTCTGCTCCTAGAGCCCTGGATAGGGGCTGTTCTGCATGAGCCATCCGGACAGGATTCAAGGGCTGACCTCCTCTGGGGTAACTTCGTGCAGGTAGGCCCAGAGCAGGGCTGGATTGCCAGGCTGGCACTCCCCAATCTGAGCAAGAGGGGAAGGGCCTGGGGGTGGCAATTAACCACTGGACAGGATTCCTTGGGAACCAGCCCTGGGATGCCTGTCTCTAACTCTGGGCTTGTGGGGACAGGGGTGGAGGGGAGATGGGGATTGAGCTGTGGAGTACTGAAGCGTGGGGAACCCCACTGATATCTTCTTGCCCTGACGGGGAAGCCTTGTTCAGGGGGGCTGTTTGCCATCTGCACCCCCAAGTGACAGTCTGAGAATCATGTGCTCTGCACTGCTTGCCTTGTCTGTGCCCTGGGGTGTGCCTGGGCAAGCCTGCTGAGAGCACCCTTGGGCCACCCGGGACGGGAGCAGCTACTCCACAGAACTAGCTGCAGTCCCAGAGAGAGCCCAGCACTGCTAGAAATGGAGCAAGGGAGAGGGATGCTGCAAGGAACCCCCTGGGGCAAGCAATGGCTTGGGGAGATGGGGCACAGCTGTGTGGTGGTGGGAGGATGAAGTGCTGCGTCTCTCCCTTGGATGCATGGGAGATCCAGCTCCATGGCTGCTTCTCTACTCCTTCCCCTCTTCCTTCTCCCCAGCCCACTCAGGGCAGGGCTCTCCTAATCCCGATTTCTCCTCTGGATTCCAGGCCTGGATCAGGGATATCCGAGCCGGCTCCACCACCTCCTTTGGGAACCACATCAAGTCCAGCTGCTGCTTGATAGCGTTTAATGCTGACTCTGCAGGTAAGGCACTGGGTGGGCCGAAGTGGAGCCTTGGCAGAGAAGGGTGATTCAGATGTGTGTGGAACACAGCTAATGTGCCCATTAACCCTATAGTCATTGGGGCCCCATTGTGCTAGGTGCTGTGCAAATGCACCCTGCCCTGAAGAGTTTACTTTCTAATTAGACAAAGGGAGAAAGGAAACATTATCCCCATTGGATAGGTGGGGAAACTGAGGAACGGAGGGGCAGTGACATGCAGGGACTAGAACCTGGGTGTCTCAACCCTCTAGGAGGCTCCAGACTAATAATAACAGGATGATGTAAGTTAGAACAACCAACAGTAGGGAGCACAATAGGTGAAAGCAGAGGCAGGGAGGCTGGGTTACAAGACCATGTGATTACTTATCTTCATTAAAGACATGAATATAACGAACCTCGGTGTCGGGCGCCTGCCTCGTGGGAAAGATGGCTCTAGCAGCACAGTGCCCCATGTGCCCTGCGGGACATTGTGCCCTGCGGGGCAGAATGTCTCTGGGAAGCATGGCAGTACCACGTCCCAAAGTCTGTGTCTGTGGTTGGCGGCTGCCCCATTCGGGTACTGGCCTGGCTTTGCTTGGTTCCTGGGATCCACTGAGGTGTCTGGAAGTGAACAGGCACTGGAAGTGAACAGGAAGTGAACAGGCACGGGGGTGACCGTCAGCTCAGTCATTACTCACCAATAACAGACTGAAACTGGAGTGGGCTATGTGGACCCTGGTGACTGTTATCTCCCCCAATAGCGCTCTGTGCTTCAGACCGGACTGGTACGAAGCCGGCAAACTCCCTTGTTGGCACTCTCTGCTAATGACTGGTCCAGGCACTCTCCGGCAGTGGCTGGGGGGAGATAGCATGTGCATGCCCTCAGCCCTTGGGGTGTCCTGGGTTCTCTCAAGCAGCCCAGGGCTGCCCGCCGCAGCACCTCGGGACAGGCTTGTAGAACCGAGGCATGAACTGTGACTATGTGATACGTTGTCTGTTTCACTGCAAACCTGAGTCTCCCTGTGAACATGCTGCGGGGATGGAACCCAACACCTGCAGGAGATGGGAGCTCCCAGCTGAGCTGGCGTCAGAGGCATGTCTGCCCCTGGCTTGCTTTTGGATGCTAGGCGTGCATGGTGTGTGGCACTCCTGGCAAGCAGTATGGTACTCAGCAAGGGGCAGCCATGATGGACTGGTGGGCAGCTTAGGACTTATGTTGTCTTTCAGGCGTGTTGGGCATCGTGCCACTGGAGAGCCAGGATGGAGGGAAGATGGCTGTGTCCCAGCTGTGCTGCCATTCAGGTGAGCTCACCAGACCAAAACATATCGAATGAGGGACCAGCACTAGTGGGTGGGAGCCAAGCAGTCTCAAAGGCCTCTCTGACGCTGCCAGGAAGGGGCAGGTTTGTGAGGCACGTTCCTATATGCTGAGAACAGGACCGAGAGCCACCAGATGCATTTCACTGGCCAGCCACTGGAAGGCAAGGAGTTTGTGATTAGTGACCTGGTGCGGATTTGAACCTGTGACGTAGCGGTGAGAGTCTCCCTTGGCTACTGCTAATCCATGAGCCTCCTCCCAGCCATTGCATGAGGTTCTTACAGCCAAGCAGGGCATGGATCTCTGACTGGGTCAGTGGCCCTTTGGAAAGGAGCTGTCACTTGTCGCCCACTATCCCTGTGACTCACATGCTAGGACAGAGCGCACGAGAGTACTTGACCGCTTAGTGGGATTGCAGAGCAGCGCCTGGACAGTCTGTTGGCCTGTCTCAGCACAGGCTGCCTGCTCCAACCGGAGGATTTTTCAGGGCATATGCAGCAGATAATCAGAGCCGAAGGAGTGTGGGTGTTCCTTTTTTTTTAAAGGCTTTATGGGCCTGTATCTCGTCATTTTTTACAAACGGAAAAGTACGCAGTGACCTACTTTCTTGAGCGTGCCAGATGCAGCAGAGGGGCTGTTAATTACTGTGTCCGCCTCCCTCCCCCAGGTCCCTGCAGATGGAGTTACAAGGAGCGCCTTTCAGTGGCCTGCATGCCGAACCAGGGAATCACAAAGGGGTGTTTTGTTACCAGCGGCGTTGCTTGCTGAAGCAGGGCCTCACGCCACAGTAGTGCATCCTGACAGAGCTGTGCATCTGTGTGCTGGCTGTGGTGCTATCTGGGCTGGACGCTGTCTGGCTCACGTTGTGAGGCTCCTGCAGATGCTGACACCAATTGCACCCTTAAGTTAGCAAGGCATTCCACTGCCTCTCTCCGTAGGGGGCCAGCAATGGAAAATCCACTTGGGCCCAAGCCCTTTGATGGGTACAGAAGGCCTGACTGTGGGTGTTAAAGAGCAGGTTTTCTCCCATTACAGGTGTACAAATCAAACTCAGAAAGCTGAGTTCTCGCTCTCCTGGGGTATGATGGGAGCTCTTCTGGCCTTCAGGTGGGATGGCTGGATCTTTCACACAAAGTGCTTTCCTCCCAGCTGTTCCATACATTTGAGTTGAGTAGCTGTCTCCCCTCCTCCCTCCTTCAGGGGTTTTCAACAGTCGTCCAAGAAAACTGGAATTTCTTACATGGAACCAATCGCCACAAGGCCTTTTTGATCTGTCCCTAACAAAGCAGAAAGGGCAGCGAGCTAGTTCTCCCCATCCCTTGGCAGAATGCCTGGGACAGGCTAGTTAGCTTGTGGCAGCAGAAGGGAAAGGAAGGCGTCCCACAGCGGGTTAGCAAGGGCTGAAATAGAGCCACTCTGCTCTCCCCAGATTCCTAGCTCAGCAGTGGGGCTTCAATGATCATCTGATCTTCCAGCTGCTCATGAGAAAGGAGCTGCTAAGCCAGCGGAGGTTTGTCCATTGCTGCCTGCTGGGAGCTGTGGGCTCTGGGAGAAGCATGTAGCAAGGCTGTCGTAGGGCAGGGAGCAAGTGGGCCGTGGCTGCAGCGGACATGCTGCAGCCTTGGAGCCGAGAGCTGGTGTGCCATTGGAGTGAACCTCTGCTCTCCCCTCTCCCCATCAGATGTGGTGACGGACTTTGACTTTTCTCCATTCGACGCGCTCCTGCTGGCAACAGGCTCTGCTGATGAAACCGTGAGTGTAAATCGAAACGGGCCGAGGGGGGTGCATGCGGCAAACCCACTTGAGCAGGGGAGCGGGGCGGTCCTATGGCCCTGGGGTCATCTCTGGGCTGTGGCTTGTACAGGACTTTCCTTGGAGAACTAAGGAGTGGGGCTGAGGGGCAGCCACAGAGGGATGGGGATGTAAAACGGAGCTGTTCGGAGGAGGGTGCTTGGCCCTCAAGCTACGAGAAGTATGAAAACGCCTTCCCAGTTGTCGGGGGAGAGGCAGCTGCTGAGAGCCCAAGGAGATCAGTGAGATGCGGGCTCAGTGCCCCCCTCGGGGTCTGGGGCAGTGACGGGCTATGGGAACTGTGCTCTGCTGGCAGCAAGCCAAGATGTTCATAGTAGCCACCTCTGGGGCGGAGGGCAAGGCTCAGGGGCAGCCACATTTGTGAGGCAGGTGGGCTGTGTGTCTCCTCTGTCTGTGCTGGGGAGGGAAGGGGAAAGGGCTGTGATTGGCTTGGCTCTATAACCCCACGTGGCACCCAGGCTGTATGCCCAGTTGGGTAGGACTGGGAACCCCACAGAGGCTCCAGTCACCCCTGCCTAGGGGGGACAAAGCCAAGGAGGTGAATGGCTGAGCACTTGCTGCCAGCTTTCTAGAGTAGGGGAGCCCAGTTCAAACCCCACCTCCGCACATGGGCGCTGTGGCAAATGGAGCCTTCTGAGTGTGTGGCATCTTCCTGGGGGATTTGGGCATGGAGGAAGGGGCCTTCAAGGGGTCTTGCTGGGGTTCACCCTAGTGTCTCGGGCTGTAGGTGAAGGTGTGGCGCCTGTCTGAGAGTGGCCAGGACCTGCCCTCCTGCCCTGGAATGACCCTGGGGCCGGCGGGATGCCAGGTGGAGACACTCCAGTTCCACCCAACAGCGGACGGCGTCCTGGTGAGCGGAGCTGGGAGAACGGCAAAGGTCTGGGATGTGGCCCAGCAGAAACCCCTGACAGGTAGGCATGGCCGTCACAGTCCTGCAGAGCATGTGCCCTTGGCCCAGGTGCAGCCTTTCCTGAGTGAATGCTGGAGCAAGTCTCTGCTCAGCTGCATTTACTCCGGGAACTCCTGCTACCTGACTGGGGCTAGTCCCTTGGCCCACTCTGTGTCCCCTTTGTGGGTGTGGTGTTTTTCTGAATGACCTCAGTGCTGGTGAAAGCTGCCACCTGAGCAGTGCTGCAGGGCACAGGTAGTGACTGTCCTAGACACCCATCAGGGTCTTAACCCAGTCTTGAAAGGGCCACCCTGCAGGGAGTTCAGGCACCATGGCCCAGTTATTCCTTGGCCTCCCTGCTGAGACACCCGTCCAGAGCATGTGGTGAGTGGTGGTGTGGGCACCTGCTCCCCTCACTCTGGGGTGTGTGTGAGACCAGCACATGTGTCACGCTGGCCACTGAACAGCCCCTGCGTTGGGATGGCGCTTGAGCACCCTGGCCTCAGCTGGGTTTGAGCCAGGGCCCTATATGAAGGAGGCCTATGCCACTGCCAGTACCTCGAGCGGCTCACTTCTCCTGGCACTGCCTGCATCTGAATTGGACCGGAAGCCCTTGGGGCTGGGGCATGGCCCTTCACGTGAAAATGAACCGAAATTCGGTCACCTGTTTGTTACTTTCAAGCAAAAAATCCAGTATTTGAAATGTTCAAAATGGAAGGGTTTGGATGGAGAAGAGACTAATGCCTGCAGTGGTGCAAACTGCCCCCACTCTTCTAAAGTGCTGCCGTGTGTTAAGTGTCTGACCTGTGACGAGACTGTATGTTTGTGGGGGAGGGGAGGAATCACCCCCCTTTTGCCCTCCCCTAGTGGTGACTGACAGCTGTGCCCGCCGGCAGTTTGTGCCCAGCAGGGATTGACTCCAACTCTCACTCACCTCCCCAGCACTGGAACCTCACGGCGACCTGATCCAGAGTGTGGCCTGGAAACAAGACGGTGCCCTCCTCGGCACCTCCTCTAAGGTGAGCACAGCGGGTGCACCAGGTCAGGTGGGCTGGGAACCCTGAGTGCTATTTCCTGAGCAGATCTGGTGTGCGGCGTTCGGGGGGGGCACACTGGGGTACGATCAAGCCACGGTGTGATGGGAGCATCTAAAGATCATTCTCCTCCCTCTGCTGTGCTAGGAGTGCTGCTGCTGGAGCCTGGCCGGCTGCCTCTTCTCTCAAGCAGCCCAGGGCTGCCCGCCGCAGCACCTCGGGACAGGCTTGTAGAACCGAGGCATGAGTGTCGAGCTGCTTGTGCACTAGATGCCCAGGGCTCTCTAGCCTCCCCCGCAGCAGAGCTAAGCCTGGACTAGCTCCCGTCTGCCAGGGAGCCCATGACAGCGGTGCAGTGGGGGATGGGACTGGACAGCTGCTGGAGGGGCTGAGCCTGGCAGAGGAGAGGGGAAATAGCGAAATGCAAAGCGCTTCTGTATGTGCCGTCCTTGGTCTTGTCCCTACTGAGCCAGCAGGCGCGGGCTGGAAAGGTCTGACCTCAGTTCTCCTTTGAACTGACCCAAACCCCTCTCACCCCGTGTGCTAGGGAAAAGGAGTTCAGCTTTTACCAGTGAAAGGGGTCTGACAAAGGTGAGTCCAGGGCCTGTTGCAAGGGGAAGGAGCAAATAAAATATGTGGTGGCTGATTGTCCTGGCTTGTGTGCTCCAAATGCACAGCTTGCTGCTTTCCAGTGATGACGTCCCACCCCAGTACTAGGGAAATGGCAGAGCCTTTGTCTAGAGAGTCACTCGCTTGGAAAGGCAGCAGGGAAACCAGCAAATGCCTCTTGCCATACGTGCTCTGACCTCTGCAAAACCCCTTTCCTAGAGCCACGAGGCTAGCACCATCAGTGTGCCACCTTCTGCTCCACGTGGTATTGCCAAGATCTGTCATCAGCATTTCTGCTTCCCTCCTCCAGACTTAGGTTGAAAACACTTGATGTGTTATGAACAATTGTGCTGTCTCCCTGCAAACATACAGCAAAAGCAGCTAACCCATCATCTTCCCCGTCCCCACCGCTCTCCTCCCCTTGACAGCCTTTGCTGTTACCCTTCCTCTTAGCTCATCATGTGAAATCACTTAACAGAAAAGAGGCTGCAGTTCATATGGCATTCCTTGCCACAAGTGGGCTGTTAATCCTGGTTCCCTGTTCAAATAATATCACCAGCTGGGTTCTGCCTCCCTAAATTCCTCCTGCAGTTTCAACTGGGTACAATAGTCACTTCCTATCCTTGGCTGTTATGTAGTGTTGCTGTGTGCTATTCTGTTCCATCCTAGAGGCAGCTGCATTAAGAGATTCCTGTGAGGTGGGTAAGCTCTCTGGGATCCTGCATTAACACAGGATGCTTTTTTCTTAGAGTTATGTAAATCCACTAGTCATGGAGTGGGAATACAAGAGGCTGGCCTGCACTCCAGAGGCCTGCTCAGTATCTGAACACACCCGTTCCTAACGAACAATTTGGCTCTTCCCTAATAAGGGTGTCTGGAGGGAAAAGTGTAGTGGGGGAGTACCACTCTGCAGAGCAATGCTTGATGCAGGGACCATCTGCTAGAGGAGTAATGGCTCTCTTTGAGTGGGACCTGCATTCTGGCTAATCTTCAGCAGAAAGCCTGCCAACATCCCTGCAGAGGACAGAAGAGGTAGAATGGAGGGGAGGGCATGACGCATTCTGTAGTACTATATGTTGCCAGCAATGACTAGTCAAACGTATGGGCGGGTGGCAAATGTGAGACCAGAGAGTGACCCTGGATTTGGTGTTGCTCCCTGAGCAGTGTGTGCTGCGGAGGTGGAGTACTCTGTGCAATGTTCTAACGCTATGTAACAGCTGGCTTGGTTGCATGGGTACCAATATAACCTTCAGGCAGCAGGTCTATGCATAAGAACTGCAATCATAGGGCAGAAACAAGCTTTCCTGGGGATATGCTCAGCATGTATAGAGAACTGCACCACAGTGCACAGTAAGCATTTCTCCAAGTTTCTTTCAAGTCTATGGTGCTAGTAAACTTGATTCTTCGTTCTGTAAAGTAGGAATGTAATATTCCTGGAGTCACTAGATGGTGCTATTGCAGGTTGTAGTTCTCTTCATCTGGCTGAATAAGAGTTTAAATATTTTATTTACCAGATATTGTCAAGACACTGTCACTTAACATCAGACTTAATCAGTATTAATGTCATCATAACAGTCATAAATAGGGCCCTACTTAACTTGCAATATTGTGGAAATTGCAGATTCTTCAATATTAGGCTTCCACCACAGTTTTGACAGCGTGAGCCCTGCCATGCCTTCCCAGGTGGCTAACAGCAAAAAATCTCAGGGAAAGTAATAATGTATTTTATTACCACAAACAATAAGATCCATTATTACTTTTCTGCAATTTTCCATGGCTTGTCCACAACTTGGCTGCAATTTTTTGACAATCATTCTGCAATTCAAAAAGGGCCTTAGTCATAAATCGTCTGTCAGGCAGTGCTACAGAATGGTCAGCAGGGGTCACCCAGGATTTTCCATGGTTCTTGATTTGCCTGGCTTCCAACAGCAGAATTCATGCAATGTTCCCTCTAATTTTTTACATCCATGTGCAGAATTAATCTTATTATGTGTACCAATATGGAGGTGATATGTGGTGGTGGTGGGGCTGAGGGATTTGGAGTGTAGGGGGCTCAGGGGTGGTGGTGGGCTCTGGGGTGCGGCTGGGGATGAGGGGTTTGGGATGCAGGCTGCCCCAGGGCTCTGGTAGGGTGAGAGGACTCCCCTCGGCCCTCTCTCGCCACAGCAGCCCAAGGCCAGGGGAGAGGCGCCTCTGCCTGTGTGCCCTTGATATCCGTGTGGCCCCACAGCTTAGAGGGAACTTAGTTACTAGGTGTGTACAAAAGTGTTTGAGATCCTGATGAACAAAACTCTCATGGTCTAAAAGTAGAATTTCTTGATCCAAAATCAGAACCAACTGGATTCAAAGTATATTTCTGCAACTTGTCCCCCTCTCTGATTGTCCAATCATTCCTCCAATTTCTGTACCCCATGGTCTCTGAGTGTATGCGCGATCCTTGACATGGCTGGTGCTGGCTCTCCCTGGCTACCTGGATACTGCAGGCATACTGCATTTTTGTGCCTCTAGAAGAAGTGAGGCAGTAATATTCCTGTTGATACTGGCAAATCTGTCTGCAGCTGGGCTAATGACTTCTAGCTCTAGCTGCTGCCTGGGGAAGGCAAAGTCAGACATTTGTGACAGCTTGCTGATAGCAGCCCAGGTAATCACATGCCATTGATTGGCTGTTCCCAGGGCTGTTTCTTCCTTGCCTGGCTGCTCTGGCGGGCGACTCGCTCTTTGTCCCATCCCTTCTGTTTGCCCACAGGATTGCAGACAGCATGGCTGAAGTGCGGTGAAAGCAATCCAGTGATTTTTCAAGTTGCTGGCGTTCTCGTGACTCGTACTGGTCAATGCAGGCATCTGACTGCCTTTGAGCTCTCTGAGTGCAGGGCTTCCATTGGCCAGCCTGGAAGGGCTGATGCCACCTCTTGCTGTGGCAGAGTTGACCTGGTGTGGGGGATTACAGGCTCCTTGCTTTAGTAGGTGATGCTGGAAGCAAATACGACACTTTAGCAGCAAGGGGAAATCCTGGCCCACTGCTGTCAAGGGAAGTTCTGCCATTAGTTTAAATAGGCCAGGATTTCACCCCGGATCTCTGGCCCTGTACGCCTTTAATCCCTCAGGTCCCTGAAGACTGAGCTTTGTCACTGCCAGTGCGTGTGACTGGAACCATCAGACTCCTCCAAAGCTGTTGGGTCTTTGCTGACCACTGTCCTGGGTGGCAAGCGCACGCTTCCTCGCCAAGCTGTGGGGGAGAGTCCAGCGTTGTGTGTCACTCAAACTCTCCTCACATCTCACTCTGCCTGGCTCCTCCAAACAGTCCTGCCCCCGTCCTGCGCTCTTGCTCTCTGGGGTAGATCCTTAACCATATTCCAGCAGTGCCCAGGCACCTTGGCCAGGCTTAAGGCCTGTTGTGCTAGGAGCTATGCAAACACAATGAGAGGCAGTCCCTGCCCTGATGACACTGCCATTAAAATGACCAGACCAATGGCGTCTGAGCGGAAGGAGGCTGTAAGAACAAACCCTGACATGCTCAACCCATGGTACGGCAGTGCCACCAGCCTGAGCTGGGTTTTTCTGGGAAGTGATTAGCTAACCAGCTGGAGGATGGGAAGGGGGCGTGCACAGGGCAGGTGGGGAGATGGGGGAGGACATTGGCACCTGCAGCAGAGGACAGAGAAGGCCCAGTCAAAGCATCGGATGCTGGTGATCTCGGCGCCCAAAGGTTCCTGCTGTGGCTGATCCTGCCCACTCCTGTGCTTGTGAGTGGCTCCTCCCAGCCTGTTCTCTTCCCCAAGGGGTTGTGGTGAGGGGTGGGGTCATTGGGGGCTGGTGCCCTGTGAGGACAGTGTGGGAGGGGTAACTGGGTCAGTCTCCCCCCCATGGGATGGCTGGCCCTGCCCGGCCCGGTTTCCACATTGTGCTGCCCCTGCTGAAATCCAATTACCCCAGCGCTTCTGCTGCTCATTGGAAGATGAAGGGGAGAACTGGCTAGGTCCTCGGCTGGTTCCACTGTTCTGGGTTTCCTTGAATTGGATGGGAGTGAGGGACAGGCCCGTGCTGCGAGGTGCCTGTGTAGTGGGCTGATGCGCTGCTCTGGCCAGTCAGCTGTGCGGAAGGGAACAGGCGATACTCAGCCAGTCTGGGGCAGGATTGTACCTGCTCGTCTTACCAGCAGAGGTGTTGAGGGAGGGAGCCCTGGCTCCATTAGGGCCCTGGGTGTCCTTGTGGATGCTTTCCATTCTCACCAGCGTTAAAGGACCTGTTTGTGTCCCCCTGACACCTGGGCAGGCCTCTGCCTTCAGGAGGGGCAGACATCTGTTGAGAATTTAGTGGATGCCTGCGAAGGAATATGCTGCAGCTGCCCTTCCCCACTACCCAGGCTAGGCTGTCTT